GTCCCCGAAATCCTCTCCAGGCCACACTGGGCACCTGCCTGACTCCTTCTCCAGCATGAGCTCTGAGATGCGTGGAGGCTGGGCCCGGGCCCACCTCGTTTACTGCTTAGCACAAGAGATGTGCTCAAAAACGATCTCTGGTGTCTCTCAGACACCTTAGAAAAGATCTTCCTTATTCACATTTAAGAGACAGTTACACAGAGCTTATTATGTCCCTGTTACTCATTGTTCTAAGTTTAAAAAATTTTCCAAATTTCAACCTCTCAAAATTATCAAGCCCATTACAGGGGCAGAAACTGAGGCAGAGTGGGGCTGGGCAAGTCGCTCGAGGGTCCAGGGTTGATCTGCAGGATTTGGAGCCAGCAGTGTGGGCTCAGACTCGGTGATGGCCGCTTGGAGGGAAAGGGGCCTGGGGTTTCTCGTGATGCAGGAGCCAGTTTCCGGCGACAGCATCACCCCCACGAGGTAAGGGTCTGCCAAGCACAGTCACGCCTGCCAGCTGGGCTCTCCTTAGGGGGAAGTGAAATTGCCTCCTACACTTCTGTCCACTGGCCCCCTTCTGCTCTCTGGAATTGCCTTGAAACAGTCCATTTTCTCTTCCTCATAAAAAATCATGGTCTTATTGTCCATATAGATGTCACACCTTTACCTGCCTTTACAAACGGTCCACAATTCAGTTGTTTTCCCCAAATGGAGATAAGGTTCATTTTCATCATTCTGATTTAGTGAGATTTTGTTATTGGTAGAACAGGGTGCATCCAGAAATGTGGTTTTCCAAAAGTATATTTAAGGCTAATTTTCAAAATGGTTGGAAAATTGCTACATTCAGAATGCCAGCCGGAGGAAATGGTTGCCTCTGGGAGGGCTACGGGTTTGATGCATGGGTCTGACAGTCACCATCTGTGCTTTCTGCAGGGGCGGCCACACCACGCAGGGATGTGCAAGGTAAAGATGCAGTCGAGGACTTTAAAGTAAAACAGCAGTGGGCTCACTGAACTGATTAAATCCCACTTCCCACCATGGCGTGTGTTCCACCTGCATCCAGCCTTCCCATCATGGAGCACTGCACGCGGAACCTAAAACTTGTTCTTTACAAAATTCGACGCATTACAGATAGGCTGTTTCTGAAAAGTTATTTACACCACGGCCTTTCCTATTTATGAAAATAAAAGGAAAATAGAAACTCAGAGCTCAGCCATTTCTACACAAGGTAGAAATGCAATCATCTGAAGAAGAGATAGCAAGTTAACAGGAAGAGAGGCAGAACACAAACAACAAGTAGAAGGAAAAATAAAACGTAACAGGAATGAAGATGAAACCGGAGGGAGCAGAAAGGGAGAACAGACCTAGTATGTAATACAGAGCAAAAGACATGAAAGATAAAAATGAAAAATTCTAGCAAAGTAAAATTGAAATAAAAAAAGAATTTTTAAGGAAAGATTAGAGAAGGAGACCCACCAAATACGTAACTAGTGTCTCTGAGAAAAAACAAAACAGTAAAACAAAATAAATACCTGTATATATAATAAAAGATACCCTTTCCTGAACATTTTCAATCTATACGCTTAAACATACTTGAATCTATACACTGAAAGGGCTACCATGGGCCACATCAGGTGAATGAGAATACAATACCAGGATGTATCTTAGCAAAGTTATTGCAGTTTAAAGATGAACACTGATTTGGGCAGCTAGGAAAGCCTCCGCTCTCTCCTCAGACTTCCAAAAACAGAACCCAGGAATGGCAGGGGAGATGGTGAGTAGGAAGTGCCAGGAAGCCACTTCCTCTCTAGACAGCAACTGCACTGGCAGGATGTCTGATGTAACTATTTTGGAATTCTAGAGTCTATCTGAAGGCTTGCAGCTTCCAGGGGAGTATTGGATGGTAGATCACAGTTAATTTTGGTTAACTCTGGCTCTTAGCGCAGCGGTGGCTGCCCATTCCCCACCCTCGATCCTGTGGCAGGCAGCTGTGCCCACGTTCCTGGACCAGCTTGCATGCGGCCTGCAGGAGCCAGGTGGGCAATGAGGACTGTGTCCTCCAAATACCAGGACTCTGTGTTCTGGCTGCTTCTGACCATGGAGCTGTGGGCACGGAGGCAGATGCTGTTGCTGCAACCCTCACTGGCCGAAGTGGCTTTCATGGTATTTAAAGAAGGAGCACCTTTAAGTTTCTTTGCCTTCATTCTCCTCTCCCCCTTTTATCCCTTTTGGGAGCCAGGTACTTAAGGATTAGAGCATTCAAAAGCAACTGCATAAAGGGAGAGTTTAGAAAGTCATTACACATACCCAGGGAAAGATGTGGCTCAGAAAAACCCTAGAAAACCTTACGTTTATACCTCAGGTTGATCCCCAGTACAGAAACACTCTATAATTGTTAAAAACAAAAACAAAACAGCAAACCCTGGGCGAGGGGAAAAATGTGATTAATAGAGACACTTAGTATGAGATTCAAACGTCCAGTTTCCCACAAAAAACAACAGGGTATATACAAAGAAGTAGGAAAGTATGATCCATTCAAAGGGAAAATATAAACAGACAGAAACTGTCCCTAAGATAATGTCTAGTAAGTCTGCCATCCTGCTCAGATGGCAGACTTACTAGATAAAGACTCTGAAATAACCATCTTAAAGATGCTCAGAGAGATTATTAGATGCTTAAAGATGCTTAAACAGCTAAAGGAAGACGTGAACAAAGTCAAGAAAACAATGTATTAACAAAATGAAAATATGAATAAAGAGAGAGAAATCATAAAAAACTAAAAAGAAATTCTGGAGTTGAAAAGTATAATAATTGACATGAAAAATTCACTAAAGGAATTCAAAAACAGATTTAAGCAGGTAAAAGGAAGAGTAAACTTGAAGATAGGAAAATTGAAATTATCAAGTTCTGAGGAATAGAAAGAAAAAAGATTGAAGAAAAGTGAACAAAGTGTAAGGGACCTATGGGACAGCATCAAGTGGATCAACATATGAATTGTGGGGGTCCCAGAAGGAAAAAAAAAGAAAGAGGGAGGGGAGAGAGAGAGAGAGAAGAATACTTGGATAAATAATGGCTGAAAGCTTCCCAAATTTTAGGAAAGATATGGATCTACAAATTCAAGAAGCTCAATAAACTCCAAGTAGGATAAAGTCTAAAAGAGCCACCTTGAGACACACTGTAATCAAACTGTTGAAAGCCAAAGACAAAGCGAGAATCTTAAAAACAGCAAGAGAAAAGGAACTCATCATGTACAAGGGATTCTCTAGAAGATTATCAGAGGACTTCTCAGCAAAAGCCTTGCAAGCCAGAAGGTAGTGGGATAATATATTTAAAGAGCTGAAAGAAAAAACTGCCAACCAAGAATTTTACATCGGCTTTCTTTCAAAACTGTCTTTCCAAACTGAGGAAGGAACTAAGACATTTGCAGACAAGCAAAAGCTGAGGGGATTCACTGCCACTATACCTGCCCTGCAAGGAGTGTCAAAGGGAGTCTCAAGTTGAAATGAAAGGATGCTAGACAGTAACTCAAAGGCATATGAAAGTATAAAGTTCCCTGGAAAAGATAAACACACAGACAAATATTAAAATAAGTATTATTGTAATTTTGGTTTATAACTCTATTTCTTATGTTCTACATGAGTTTAAAGACTAGTGCATCAAAAACGATTATTAGTCCAAGTTTTTGAACACAGAGCAGAAAGATGTAATTTGTGATGTCAGTAACTGAAAGATGGTGAGGATGGAGCTGCACAGGAGCAGAGTTTTTATATGCTGATGAAGTTACGTTGTTGTAAATTCAAATGAGAGTGTTATAATTTAGGATGTTAAATGTAATCCCCATGGCAACCACAAAGAAAACAGCTGCAGAGTATACACAAAAGGAAATGAAAAGTGAATTAAAACATTTCACAACAAAAAATCAGCTAAACACAAAAGAATACAATAATGCAGTGAATGAGAGACAAAAGTCCTATAAAGTATACAGAAAACAAATAGCAAATGGCAAAAGCAAATTCCTTATTATCAGTAATTACTTTAAGTGTAAAATGACAAACCTCTCCAATCAAAAAAATAGAGGCTGGCAGAATAAGTAAAAACCCACGATCCATCTATATGCTGTCTAAAAGAGATTCATTTTAGATCCAAAGACATAAATAGTTTGAATGGGAAAAGATATCCCACGCAAATAGTAACCAAAGAGAGTGGGGTTGTTATACTACTGTCTGAAAAAAAGAGACTTTAAATCAAAAAGGGTTACAAGAGAAAAAGGACATATATATTAAATTATATATAAACACTTACATACCTAATAACAGACTCTCAAAATATACGAAGCAAAAATTGACAGAATTAAAGAGATAAATAGTTTTAAAATAATCACTGGAGACTTCAATACCCAACTTTCAATGATAGATAGAACAACCAGACAAGAAGATAAGTAATGAAATAGAGGACTTGAACAATAAACCAACTAGATCTAACAGACATATACAGAACACTAGCCCAAGAACAGAATACACATTCTTCTCAAGTTCACATGGGACATTCTCTACGACAGACCCTATGTTAGGCCGCAAATCAAGTCTCAATAGATTTTAAAAGACAGGTATCATACAAAGAATCTTTGTTAACTATGATAGGATAAAATTGGAAATAAGTAACAGCAGGAAAACTGGAATATTCACACATTTGTGGAAATTAAACAACACACTCTTTTTTTTTTTTTTCGGTACGCGGGCCTCTGACTGTTGTGGCCTCTCCCGTTGCGGAGCACAGGCTCCGGACGCGCAGGCTCAGCAGCCATGGCTCATGGGCCCAGCCGCTCCGCGGCATGTGGGATCTTCCTGAACCAGGGCACGAACCCGTGTCCCCTGCATCGGCAGGCGGACTCTCAACCACTGCGCCACCAGGGAAGCCCAAACAACACACTCTTAATCAATGAGTCAAAGAGTAAATCACAGAGAAAATAAGAAAATACAAGTATTTGTCTCTTAAAGATACAAATTTAAATGAAAACACAACATACTAAAACTTATGGGATTCAGTGAAAACAGTGCTAAGAGAAAAATTTATGGCTGTAAATGCTTGCATTAAAAAAAAGAAGAAAACTCAAATCAACAATCTGCCTTTACAACTTAAGGAGCTGGAAAAAGAAGAACAAACTAAACTCAAAGCTGGCAGAAGGAAGGAAATAATAAAGATTAGAGTGGAGATGAATAAAACAGAAAAGAGAAAAACAATAGAGAAAGTCAATGAAAGCAAGCGTTGGTTTTTTGGAAAAATTAACAAAACAGAAAAGATTAACTGAGAAAGAGAAGACTCAACTTACTGAAATCAGAAATGAAAGTGGGTAAATTACTACCAACTCCGCAGAAATAAAAAGGATTATGAGACCACTATGAATAGTTGTATGCCCACAAATTGATAACATGGATGAACTGAAGAAATTCTTAGAAACACAAAACCTACCAAGACTGAGTCATGAAGAAATGGAGAAGCTGAATAGATCTATAACTAGTAAGGATATTGAATCAGTAATCGAAAACTCCTTGACCAAAAAAGCCCTGGACCAGATGGCTTCATTAGTGAATTCTACTGAACACTGAAAGAACTTACATATACTCTTCTCCAACTTTTCGAAAAATTGAAGAGGAGAGAACATTTCTTAACCCACCAGAAAGCATCTAAATTGGAAAAGAAGAAATGAAATTACCTCTGACGACATGAACTTAAGTGTCCATTGATGGATGAATGAATAAACAACACGTGGTAGATCCATACAGTGGAGACTTATTAAGCTTTAGGAAAGAATGAAATTCTGATACATACTGCAACATGGATAAACCTTGAAGACGTTATGCTAAGTGAAATTAGCCAGACACAAAAGGATAAATACTGTATGACTCTTATTTATATGAAATACCTAGAACAGTCAAATACACAGAGACAAAAGTAGAACAGTGGTGACCTGGGGCTCGGGGGGAGGGGCACGGCAGTTACCGTTAGAGGAGGACAGAGCTCCAGTTTGGAGATGGAAGGTGGTGAGGATCCCACGACAATGTGAATTTATTTAAAGCCACTGAACTGGGTACTTAAAAATGGGTAAAATGGTGAATTTACTGTTATGCGTATTTTATCACAATAAAAAAAACTAGAAGACAGTGGAGTTACATCGACCACACATTCAAGGAAAGAAAGTGTACAAGGGGATTTAATGTCTGACTAAATTGTGTCTCAGGTACACAGAGTCGGTGTTTGTCCCCTCCATCTCATCATGTTTCCCAAGACTCTTTTACATCCCAGTCATGACTATTCAACAAGGGTTTCTTTCTTTCTCTCTCTCTTTCTTTTTTTTTTGAAGATGGTAAATTGAAAATGATACACTTCTGATTAAGAAGCCTCTACTTTCTCTTTCTTTATAAGACAGGCATTAAAATTTAAAAGCCAGAACATGGAATAAGTGCTAATGAAAATGTCAGCAAGTGAGAGTTTAGGTTTTAAAATGTCGAGAACAAGAAATACAGGATGAGTGTGAAGGGTCTAGCAGCTCTGTTTTATGCCTTTGAAACGTCCTCCAAATGTCACATAAAAAACCATTTGTGATTCATTTTCATGAATGATGACTTAAATTATTAAAAAAAAAAAAAACCCAAATCTGGAAAAGTCTAATAGAAAAGCAGTGTCTATGGTTGGGTGAGTGGTTTCTCCAGTCAGAGCCACCTGTGTCGAAGACTTAACCCTGCACCGTTTCTCTTGTAAGACAGATCTGGTTTCAATCTGTGTTTCTTCAGTTTTTATCAGTGTTGGCCTAGATTTCCAAAGCTGAGCTAAAATGGAAATAGTCTTTTCTCCCTTTAACCCATCTGTCTCCTTTTATTTACATAATATAATATTTTTTCCCTGAATAATTGTTTTTTTTCTTTAAAAAGTCAAAATGGAAGTAGAATAAACAGAAACTTTTTCATCACAAAGGGAAACTTAGGATCTTCTCTTGGGGTTTATACTCAACAGGGCCTCAGGACTAGTCCAAGTTCAATGAAAATTAGCAGGAGGTGAGGCTGTAAAGCAACAAGGCCCTTTCTCTAAGGCTCCGTCATCTCAGGCTCTCATTTCTCAAGCGACTAGTGACTCCTCCCAAAAGACAGAACGAAGGAGAATTTCTGAAAATCTGCTCATGTCGGCCTCCTTATTCTGAAGTGAGGAAATCAAGCTGGATAATTACTTTGCTAAGTACCAGCGAGGGACGGGTTTACAATTATGCGGGTTCTGTTGTTGTTAACTGCTGCCAACAGAATAATTTATCAAGTTACGGCATCTCATTGAGGGAACTGAAAAGCACATTACCAGTAAGAAATGATTTCTAAAGCAGACTTAATTACTACTATATGTGTTTTTAATGTTGGCTGAAGATACACAGGGAGACAGGCTAAAGTGGCACGTGACGAGTCCTCAGTTAGTCTGTCAGCCCTGAATGCATATTGAGAAAGACATAAAAAATTTAAGAAAGATCAAGACGTAGAAGCAGATTCCCTTGTCATCCCCAAATAACTGCAGTATTTGCCGGTGAGGTGAAGGTTCCGGCAGGCAGATACCTGACAAAGACAGTTCTGTGGACTTCAGCTGCAAATTAGGAGAGGGGCTGGGTGACAAGTCGGTGTGGAGAGATGTAGATTTGGTTGTGTTCTGACTGATCCACACCTGAATGGTTATTTAATCCATTCCCATATTTCCAGGTCACCAAGGTCTTTTCACTTCCTACTCAATCTATTCAACACCCCCCTACATACACACATTTATTTAGCCTTGTGAAGGCGGCAACATACCACATCCTCCAGGCGCCTCCACCTTACCCGCACCATCTCCAATGAGCAAGTGCTCCTAGCTATTGACAGACAGGCTCAATGGAAACACAGGGGCTTCAGGAACACAAGTGACCTCTCGGACACAGAGGACAGAGGTCAAACTGTTCTCCCATGTTCATAATTTCTTGTGATAATACAAACACATGGTCCAAAATAACAGAATGATTGGCTGATGGAGAACTCTTAAAGAGATTTTTAAGTCAAGGAAAAACCATTACATCTGGTTTAAACAATGGCCTGGGCTGCCTTTCTGATTCCCATTAGTAGTCAACTTCGCTTTTGGATGGAAACCTTTTCTTTCGTCCTTTGGCCTGATGCACATTAAAACCAAGTTTTTCTTAAAAACAGAATTTGTGGTCACTACTCCAAAGTGCCGGCTGGACATTTCCGGGGCTAGTTCAGGTGGCAGTGCTGCGTGTGGCATAACTAACATCTATAAACTGGATGCAGATTACGGGGAAGCAGAAATGTGATGTAAAGACGGTCAAAGAATAAACATGGAGAGTTGAAGAATAGTTTCCCTGGAGAGCTGTCCGGCAGGGACACAGCAGTGCTCTGGGAAATTTAGTTATATTTATTTGCCTGTCAGTGAAATAAAGATCAGAGAGGAGAAGAAAAACCTCAAGGAACAAGGTGAGTTGTCACAATGGTCATAAAGAAGAATTGCAGGTTTCAAGCCCCTGGCATAGAAAATACATTTTGAAAACATACACAAGCGTCTGATTCTGATGTCAGTTTTGCCAGAAATCAACAGGATGAACCGTTTTTCTCTTGAGTAGTGGTGACGACGTGAGGATGTACTGCATGTGCAGTTTCTCGTGGTCTGCGCCCTTGCACAGACGATTTGCTGCACTTTACTCTCCAGACGGGCTTGTCCTCTTGTGCCACCCCTGACCCACTCTCTTCTCCCCCCACCGCCCCATCCTCAGGTCCCCCGGATCAGAGGGACCTGGCGGATCACTGGTACACACACTCCCTCTTCCGAGGGGATCTGAATCTGCAAAACTGCCGCAGCCGCTCCCGCGGGGCCCCCACAGGGCCACAGGCAGAGAAGCCCCAGTGCGGAGCCCAGAGCTGCAGGGAGCCCAGGGTGCTGGGCCGCGGGCAGGGGTGCAGGCGGAGGCCAGGAGGCAGGCGGAGCTGGGTCCCCACAGCCCCCGAGTCCCCTGGCAGAGCTGAGGCACAGGGCCGAGGGGCAGGCCCATGGCCCACGTGAGCGGGTCTCTGGGGGTGAAGCCCGGGGACCCCTTGGGTGCAGGGTATCAGGAGCACACAGTCCGCAGGGCCCTGGTTCTGCCCATGTTAGAAACTGGGCAAAAAGAAAGAAGAAAACACGACAAGCACTGGCTGTCCTCAACAGAAGAATACATTTTTTCCCCTCGGAAAAATATTTCAAAAGCTGATGTTGAAAGAAACATGTAAAATGGATTTAAGGCAGTTTAAATTCAAACAGACGGCTCTGGACAGCGTGAGATGCTGGCCCCATGGCGGCCCAGGAAGAGGGGAAAACAAACTACCCTGGATCCTGACACTGAGTCACGGGACAGCAGCCGTGGAATTTTATTTACTTTTTCTAGATTTTACATGAAATGAAGATGACCTGGCCCTGCCCGATACAGACCCAGGGCAGGAGCCGGAACACTGGCAGAGAGGCACACGCGGGGGAGCCCTGGATGCTGAGGGCGGGACCGGGAAAGGTGTGCAGAAGCCACATAGGTCTCCATTACCAGAATTTCCAAATTATAATCTCTCGGGTGGGGCCTGAGCGCGTGCATTTAAAAAAGGTTACACCGGTGGTTCTGATGTAGACCAGGATGAGGACCACTGCATAGGCCACGTAGAACCACGGAGGCTCTGAAGAATCATATCCAGGTCCTCTTTCCATGGACACCCAAATCCAAGTCCTGATACACAACAGTGGTAGATTCTAGAAGGGTGATTCCCACTGACTATTTACCATAGGATTCAGCAGCATCTACTACATCTGAAAGTGAGAAGAGATATTTCATGTGCTGTGAGCATGCAATGTGATTCATAAAAAGTGCTAACACAGGAAAAAGCCCTACCATTTTCTCCTCACCCTGAACTCTATGGGCAAACTGGAATGTATACTTCCCGTGAACAAACCATTTCTAACTAGGAACACTGATTCTTAGGTAACCGGCTAATCCTTTAGAGAACCTCAAACCAACGGTATGCCTGGGCTCCGAGAGTTAAGGTTTAGAAAACACCTGAGAGCAAAGATTCTGACCAGCTATGCTAACGAGAGAGGGCTGCGAGGATTCCAGCAAAGTTGCCTGAAGCTATGCAAGTTCATAATGATTTAACCTTTTCTCAGGGACCC